TTAAGAATAATGTTGGTTTCTTTTTCAGAAAGCGTTTAGCAATCCTCTGAAAATAATGACGAGGGTCTGGTTCTGGCCAGTATGCGCTTATAAAATCACTTGCTTAGTTAGCGATTGGCGAAGTTAATGGCATTTCGCGTCAAAATCCAATTACCTGTTTAAAATAGGCCTAATTAATAATGCATTGTTCGCGTAGACATTTATTTTAATGGTAATATTTTTTGGAAAAAAAATGTAAATAGATATACATAAATTGTTTTAATATGTGTCTCATTGAAGTAAATATATTATCGATCGAGACCATCCACCTGTCCCGGCCACTGGCCCTCCGTTCTTCCATCCATGCACCCGCCATCCACCCATCCACCTGTCTACCGTCAGTCTAGATACCTTAAAACAATATTATAATTTAGTAGACCTAGGTTTATCTCACATGGCCAGCACTGCGTTATCTAATTTTAAAAAGTGTTGAAAAACGAATTGTGTATGATGCAAATGCTTGTCAATAGCAGTCACAAATACTTACTCTCAGTTCTTTATTTAAAGAAAACACAAGCAGACAAAAGCCTCACTAATGGATATTGCATTTCATTTTACTGCCAAATAAATCGAGTACAGTAGGTTTATGAAAAGATATGCGATTTAAATACCAATATGACAATACTATGACAGCGTTGTTGTTCAGACCATTATATTTATTCGAGTATCAGTGGGCATTATCCAAGTACAGATACACGTACACAAATCTCTTATACACATTTAGAATGAGATGAATCACTTGAATTGTACATGCCTACATTACTATCTAGAATGCTTTATCAGAATTAATAGTCGATTGTGTTTGGCTTATGGCCGTGGCATACTCTCCCTTATCATCTCAGAGATACAGCAGTCTATAAAACCTATAAACAAGACCCATCGCATTGCTTAACTTTTTTTGGTCTTTTGTGGGGTTGTCCCACTTTTATTTCTTCTCATTTCATCATTAAATAAATCTACAAATTTAATACGTATACACACATAAAATCACATATTTATGCGCCATACATTGTTTAAAGGATCAGTACATTGTACCGAGTGTTTAATATCTCTTGATATATTAACTATATTATGATAATTATCATAATATAGTTAAATTTATACCTCTATATTATATATATATTATATATATATATATATTCTCTTTTATTATTATGCACAACTAATCACAGTTCTACTAAATATAGGATAGATGATGTATGAAGTTTACTAAAGCCATTTGTCTGTTCTTGTATAATAATATCTTAATAAATATTATGCTTGATATATATATATATAATATATATATATATATATATATATATTAATAACAATTATGACATAAATAACGAGTCATGCTCGTGATAGTTCAACATGCAAATGTCATTCCATATCAATGATTACTAGAAAAGAAATCAATAAAGAGTAACATGGCTTATAATTATTATACCCATGGGTGGAGAGAGAGGGACAAAGATAAAGTGTCTTGCCCAAGGAAACAAGCGACCTACACAGCCAGAGTTTCGAACCGCCGACGACGAGGCTGAGTGTCCGAGCCTCGAACGCTGCGCAAAACGCTTCACACAATATACGCCATTTACATGATATGAATTATAACTCAGTGACCTATGTTTTTAATTAAAACATGACATTATCAAAGTAAGTTCACATCAAAAAATCTTTTCTTGAAATTAGAAAAGGGGTATAATGTAATAATGCAGGCTGATACTATATAAATTATAGTGATCTTATACTTAAAAGTTAACCAGAGATTATTACATACTGGCATGTGTAGCTCAGTTTTAAAATATTTATATTGTAAATAGAGTAGACAGCCATTGAATATGACTTATTTTTAAGTTTGCACTTACAACCCAGGAGAAGTTCTTTAAAAGAGCTATTACTGCTGTCTATTTTTTAAAAATATTATCTATATCTCTCCACAGTATATCGTTTCATTTGCATTCAAAGAACACGTCATCTTCTTCACTTACATCATATATGTTACATTTGTTACTAAGTGTATTTTTTATTTTCCATTTATATAATTGCGTGTTTGTGGAACAATTTCATTTAATAGTAAATTAATTGTAATTTTACCTTTTATTTTCCATTTTTTACTTTTCTTAACCAAACATCACTCCAATTTCTTTCTTCTATATTTCCCATTTACTTGTAGTTTGAAGTGGAATAATTGTTCTTATTCGAGTAAGCCACTTTTGTTTTCATATTAACTACCGGTACCGGTATATTGTTAACTATAATACACTCATCTGTGTTCACCTGTATATCATGGGTACAGTATTGTGAATTTTGGTCATATTTAACCTTTCTTTTTGAATAGATTCAGTTATTGAAACATATTCACGGAGCCAGTTTCTCTTATTCCATATTTTTCTAGGATATATGTACGTTCATTCAAACGATTAAATAAACAATATCATTTATCTTTATTAAATCCAGAGTTAATCCATTTTTTCTATATGAAATTGCCTTATGACTCCATAAGTTTCGTTTAACTACATCGTCATAAGTTTTAACTACATAATTAGGGAGTTTTCGCAAGCTCACGAAAACGATAACGAATACGGCTACGTCATTTAAACAACCCTTCATCTACAGTAGCGTATCTGTCACAATGTAGACAATTCATGCCTTTTGCATGAAGCAAGGATCATATTCAGCTCATACAACATATTGTCAAGAATGTTTGAGACATGAATGACGATAATGAAATGACGTATTCGTATTTGTTTTCGTAAGGTTGCGAAATCTCGTTTAGTTCAATGCAACACCTTATGACGGTAACGTACAATGAAGGTATATTATTAAAGATCGATAGAATCTCCATTTACACTTCTTCTGGTTACCTACCTGTATTATTATTATTACAGTCATACTTTAAAATATGAAATCGCTGTTTATATATCACAATAATTTAGGCCTATTAATCTCAATTAAAGACGACCAGAAACAAAAACGCCAACAAGTAGGCCCTACAACTCGATAAAACCAATGATAGCTTATAATATTATATGATATACAGTAATCAAATAGAAAAAATAGCTCATATTTCAAATGACAGAATAATTTTACAATTAATCATTTCAAATAGGGGCCTAGTGTATCCTTGGACTTTGCAGTGGTGACGCCGAGATTTACCCGACGGCCATCCAAAGGGGAGCGTAAGTGACTGTCTAGAACACTCGGATGGAGTCTAGGAGCATTTGAAAGGCTTATTTAATCAAATGTGTCAACATTACATAGTATTATAGCACTTAGGGTCAGCTCTTCCGGACAGAGATGCAGCTCTTCCCAAATGGATCCTAGCTTCTTGCCCCTCCACTGGCGTCACCTCTGCTCATATATAACAACCAAGACATACCAGGGGCGGGTTAAGCATTTTTTAAACGAGAGGACACAACAGTTTCAGAACAGGTAAGTGAGTAATTTTTTTTTAAATTTAGTGGCAAAACGGTGAGGGGGGGGGGCACGTTCCACCCGTACCCTTCCCCCACTGGATCACCCCCACTAGATCCGCCCCTGCATAATACATTGTGTAATAAAATGCTCAGAGGGGATTCAAACCTGCGACCTCTCGCTGTCAAGGCAAGCGTCATAACCATGAGACCACATAGGCTTCATGGTTGAACAGATTCAAATTTATATCCTTTATTCGAAACTGTAGTTACATTTCTTTGGGTTAACGTGTTACAGAACGTAAATATATTTGTTATTGTTCCGTAACACTTCAACCTCTGTAACATAAGCATGACATAATTATAAGATAAATAACAGTTACAGTCGTATTAAGGACAGGGCTTCAGCTAAAGGTGCCTTTAGCGGAGCTCGAACCTGCAACCTCACACTATCAGGGCAAGCGTCATAACGCTAGACCACAGAGACCAATTGGTTATACTAACCCAGATAGCTTCGTTGACCCAGATAGCTACAACTGACTTTAAAGCTCAGACATAGTGGAGATAGTTAAGCTATAGACTAGCTTGTAAGTCGCCGCTGAGAAAACATAGTCAATAACATTGTTCTTGCAGCTTAAATTTTTTTTTTCGAAGAGCTATATTTCACACGAGTAAAGCATCTGAAAAGGCCTATGTTTCTCTGTAGTCAACGGTGGCGGAATTCAGATTCAAAAAATTTAAACAGCCAGAAATAGAACTATTGCTTCCGGGCAGCACCAGTCTATCCTTATTATAAAGTGTATAAGCATGTTTGCATGTATTTGTATGTATACACATATATAACAATATATATTTTATATTTATACAAATATATAACAAAAATATACAAATTCCTACATGGAATACGGCGTTGCTGCGCAACATTGTGGTATAATGTAGGTACTCTAAACGTGTAGAACAGTGCTCCATTAAAGGAACAGTGATGCTAATAATCGTATCGACATAGCATCTTGGGAGCTTTGAAATAAGTGACTACACCAGTTATAAGGGAGCGGGACCTCCGGGCACCCCCAGGGTCTAAAAGCGGAGCCCCGGCGGGGTTCAGAGGCAGTGGCCTATCTAGCAGTCTGGTTGGGGGTTGGGGGTGGGGAGAGCGAAGGTGAATTGTGGGGCTCCAATTAAGGGGCGTTAACTCGCAAAATAAGGTGATTTTATGTGCGATCCAAGCAATTTTAAGCTGTTCTAAGACGATTTCATGGAGTGTTTGTTGACAATAATGGGTACAGTACATAAACAAAAATATTTTTAATAAAGCCACGTACAACTTGAGCACCCAAACTAGTACCGTAAATAATATTCAAAAATTTAGAGAAAGAGGGAACGAGGGAGGAGAGAGAGGAATGTAATCGATATGTTTGATATAATTGATGATGTTTCACGAATGACTCGATTATTATAAAATGGCAAACAGACTTAAAAGTACTGTAAGATATTACTATACTGTACCTCATAAATATTAATTAGGTAATAAAAATATTTCATTGGTCAATTCCACCCATGAACTAAGTTATACAAATATACATAATGCGTTCATGTATATATCATGTATGTACATACATCCATACTGAATTCCTACGCACGTCACAATTTTGATATAGCATTAATATCGCCTTGTCAGACTGTCAGAGATCTGGATACACCCTCTTCTGTGCATTCAAGCTGAATCTCAATAAGGAATAAGACAATGGTAATTACATCTATACATATATATATATATATATATATATGTATATATATATATATACATATGTGATACTACTATATGTTTCGACGTGTCACACGTAGCATAAGCATTGTTGCCTGATGATGACGTGTGAGACGTCGAAACATGTCGTTTATTAGTATCATTTATTTTTTATTAGATACATTACTACCTTCTTACTGTATAAAGGTACATGTTTATATAATTAATTATATATATATAATTATATATATTACTTAATATTAAATATAGAAATGTGGTTATACATTTTAACGTACAATTTTCAGGAATTTAACTACACAAATACGAATAGGTGGTGTCATTATAATGTCATATTTTTTTCTATTAGCATACGATACCAATTGTAATTATAAGTTATCTTAAAGTACCGGTACGTTGTACAGGCATCGTATGAATTAACAATACGTTGGATTGTAGTGAACGTGCAAATCAGAACACTGCAGATCCAAGCATACATATAATATTATAATATAGCATGGCTTAGCACGGGATCTTTATTTTAATCACATCTAGAACAGTATCCTTGTGATGCGTTTTACTTTCCGTTATTCAATAAATTACAATTTTTAATAATAGATGTATTTTATCTGTTTTAATTAAACGTCGAGTGCTAACCTTGATTTTGAAAGCTTGTTTTTTAGATTCGTGCACTTGCCATTTAAACTTTACAGCCAACATCATCTTCAATTCGTTCACCACACGGTCCTACAGCACGATTCGTCTCTTCAAGTTCCACTACGGTACGTTTAGTGTTGTCTGTCTGCGACGCAGCCCTGTAGCTACGTACACGTGTTCTAGACGACGCCAATACATTCACACAGTTCTGACGAGCTTGTCGGAATGCGTAAAACACGAAGAAAATATATGGATTGACGGCACTGTTGCTAACAGCTAAAATAGAAAACACACCGTAGATTTTTTGCTGCAAAGATGACTTTCTACTGGAATCTGTTGGTTTTGGCGGGTTTACGGCTACATAAAGTTCGGTAGCGAAATAGGGGAACCCACATAATATGAATACCATAATAATTGCACAAGTCATTTTTAGCGTGCGAACACGCGTTTTCTTTTTATACTGTGAATCGGGTAATGTGCTGTGTCGCGTATTCCATAGCTTAGCAACAATGCGCACGTACGCAAATGTGATGAAGGAGAATGGAATAAAGAAGGCGAACACAGTAGCATACACAATATATATAGTTTTCTCTGGAGCGTCCTTTCCAAATGTAGTGAGACACATCGGGACGCCACTGTGAATGGTTCTTTGGAATATGAATAGTTGGGGGGTTGCGAATATGCACGCTAAAGTCCATGCAATACAAATAAGTTTACCTGAATCCAGCGGCTTCTTTAGAGGACTGAAAAGTGAGTGGTATCGATCAACTGCAATGGCAGCTATCATATAATTCGAAGCCAATAAAGTAATCACCTGCACCAAGGTAAACACACGGCAGGCCCCGTCAGAAGCTAACCATCGTCGGTCTAGGGCTTCTCGGATCAACTCACCAAGCACACCGAACAATGCAACGCTAAGATCAGCCACAGCTAACGAAATTATGTAACTATGGAAGCGGACTCGCTTGTTTACGACCATCCAGGCAAGAAGAGCGGTATTGCCGGTAAATGCCAGGATAAAAATTACTCCTTCGGCGATCATACGAGATGGTTGATGGTAACTGGTCCATGGTGGTAGAGTAGTTGCCATGGTTCCATTATCTTGGAACTCTGTATCATTAAACATTTTCACAATTCGCGAGACTATATAATTTGATGGAAAAGGTACAAGTCGGCGTTTATTGGTATCAGAAAGATCGTCCTTTTCAGAGGCATTCAATTCAGTATAATAGACGCGTGCATTCTAAAAAAGGATAATTTGTGTAATAATTGTATTATATGTCAGCCAAGTCGACGCTGTCTCAATTCTCAAGATGGAATTTGAACAAAAACGTACAAGCCGTTCATTCTTGAATTAGCGTTCATTTCGCAGTGAATAGCTTGATGATGACGTAGTTTCTTCAACGGCTTCTCAAGCTGCTTGACTTGTTATACCACTTAGGATGGATGCTAACACGACTGAGCGAGGAACGAGTTTAGCAACTCTTATATTGCTTGACCACCAGAAATGCGACCTCAATCTCTCAATCAGTCGTCCGCACGTCATCGACAAAATCATGAACTAGCAACTCCCACAACACGTCTCCCGTGTCATTTCTCGAGATCTCTCCATATTAATTATGTAGGCCTACTTAACGAGTGGCCCTCTGCTGCCAAATGATGCGCGTGCACTATGTGTTATATTTAATGTTCAGCGCAAGCGCAAAACTTAAAGTGTGGCTCAACATCAAATACGGTATATTTGAGGGCTCGGAATGTTTATTTTTATTTTCCAACATGCATAGCAGGATTAATGTCGTTAAAAATAAATTATGACGTCAGTTAGTGATAGAGTCACTTAATATAGGCTGCTTCGTAAATGGTGCATTATGCTAAGACTGAACAATTGTCTGAGAATTAAAAATATGAACGCACGAGCAGTGGTTTTGCCTGATAGTGTGAAGCTGTATTTTGAATTGCATTCAAAGTCAGTTTGCGTTAACAATTCGGGCTGTAGGCTATGGTTGCGACTAATCAAATGTCAAAAGTGTCACCTTATTCACCTGGAAATACTCAGATACAAAACACCTCTTGGTTGCTATAGTCGTGTGCACGCCTAGCAAATTCATTGAAAAGTATTGTTCCATTTAAAATTCAATTTATTAGGTGTAAAATTATAAGAAACTTAACAAATATCAGTATAGTATACGTAATTTGTTGTGTCAACCTTTTAATTTATCAGGATAAAAAAGTATATGATTAAATTGATTAGTGATATTAAACTTTATGATGAAAATTTAAATATATAAAACTGAGATAAATGCGGAATTCCTCATCTTGAAGCCTTACGCGGCACGTGACGCGAGGCAGAACAGTAAGGTAGGGCTAAGCAGAGGGATCGACTTTATTATTAAAAAAAAAAACAAAAAAAAAAACAACAAATTGAAAAGAATAAAGAATACTTAGATACAATAATGTTTCTTTGCCCTGAAATAATAATAATTATATATCTCCCTCAATTGCTTTTGCAGATCTACCAAGTCTCACGCGTGAGAATCACGCATTCGAGGTCTATCTCACTTTCCCACGTTTAAGAGGGCGAAAATCTCAATGTAAATATAAACACATTATTTAAAGTATGTGTACACTATTTATTTATTTATTTATTTTGCTGATTTACAGGTATCTTACAATCATTCGCAAAAGAATGGAATGCATGAAATATGATTTAGGTCTACAGGTCTGTTAACAGACATGGGGAACATTTATTGTCATTCAGGTTTTTTTATTTTTTATTTAACTTTTTTTAGCTGATTTACAGATAGGCCTAGGACCTATTGTACAACAAAATTTATTCACTGAATAATAAAATGCATGAAATGCATGATTTAGGCCCTACAGGTATGTTAAGTGTCATGGGGAAAATTTGTTGTCATTCAGGTTTTTAATTTTAAGTTAATAACTAACTTAATGTATTAATTAAATACGGATTTTATTTTAAAACTCATAACAGACAGTGTGTATGCACGGACCCCTCGCAAGGCGGAGAAGTATTCGAAGCAAAAGTCTCACGCCTTAAAACTTGGAAATCTCTGGACTTGATAATTATGGTGTTTTGATTCAAGTTTAGTGGCTGTGGTTGTGTATGCGCCTAGACAGCTAAACAAATTACAATACAATTAAAACCAAATGCAATTTTCTAACAAATAGAGCATGGATAATAATGAATGTTAGGATCAATAATGGCCAAGGCTAATACACCTTATGGGTTCTCAACAAATATTCTGTATCTGTACAAATATAATAGTATTCAAATCAGATTTGCTGCGTAGAACGGTAAATTCAATATAAACACTTAGATGAATAGGCTTAACAGTGCTCGAATATCTTGTTATAATCGATAATCTTGTTATAATTTTTTTCAAACATACCGTAGTCCTCCAAAAAACAGCTTCTTTCCTTTGTATGGAAAATGCGTTGGCGGGATTCGAACCTGCAATCTCTTGGTATCAAGGTGACTACCCTATAATTATACCACGGAGGCCTATACGGTATACGCGTGCACGTGTGATGAGCGTTTCAGAAAGTTGTAATACTGTGTTGTAAATACGGTATTGAGCGCGCTATGACATTCGCATTGACAGTGAATGTACTGTAACTGATAAAGTAGTTTTTCGTTGCTATGTTCATACAATAATGTATCGATCATACAATTAAAAAAAAAGAAATGCTTACTATTAAGTAACATCTGATGGAGCCGAATATTGAACATAGATAGTATTGAACATCATCAATAATAATTTAAAAAAAATGAACAGTAATAATTAGAAAAGTGACGAGAATTAAACAATACAGCCTATATTAAAGAAAATACAGGTCATAGTCAAATCTAAATGCCACGAAACATAGTGCATACAAAAGAAATCAAATATTGACTCTGCAACACCTGCAAATGTAGTCGTCAGGTTCAAAATCAATCTACAATTATATCTTAATCATTGAAGAATTATTAGTGCACAGGTGCAGTCATGTGTACGTCAGGTAAACATAGAAGCTTAGGCTATACTCTCCTGTCTTCTTCACTTAAATTCTACATTACTTCAGTTCATGTTTCACACATTATTGTCAGGCTCATGTGACCTAGATGTAAATGTACTGATTTCATAGAACCGCCCATGCATAATACACCTGTGGAAATGATAACTAACATGTTAGCGTGTGAGGTAACTGCCAATATACACTTTTAAAATCATTGCCCGAAATAAGTATTCATAGAACTATGCCCATGTGTTTATTATGTGTCAGTGTTACCATCAGATCTATTCACGTCTATTGGTTTAATTACAACTCATTTCAAGTTCTGAAGTAGAGAAGCGAGAAATCTAGGTGTGCGTACCCTCATTCCCCCCCCCCCCCCCCCCCGAATCTGATAATAGGCTTGTTTACAAATTAATGAATCGTCAGAGCTAACTTCAGAATACGCAAGCTTATAATATATATCCTATGTTTGGCTCAAAGGCTTACATTTCATGATACTCGACTTTTCTTTAATGAAATATAGTCGAAATATATGGAGAAACCGTCCTGATGATTTGCGTTAAAGGCATCATCGCATTTGATTGATTATAGAACGTTGAAGCTGTTGCTAAAAGACGGAACATTTATCATATAAATGACGCAATTAGCATCGTTTCAAAACAGTAGAGATAGTTGTAGGGAATGCTTATACAGTTGGGTATTAACCAAAGGGACACCTGTAGATAAACAAGCACTTTACTGTTGCTATCTCATTAATCATTGTCTCTTCACGCTCGTGACAAATTAATCTTAAGAGGATGTACAAAGACAGTGTGAATGCATTGCATTGACATCACCACTTTGCACTCCAAGTCAAGGTAAATATTCCGATAACAGCATTATTGCAACCGTCTGATCAACAAATCCATTAACTAAAAGCAACAATAACAATAACAACAATAATGGTCATGAAGATAATGATGGTGATGGTGATGATAATGTCATAATGATACTGATGATGATGTGGGTGGTGATGGTGGCGGTGATGAAGTTGATAATGATGATTAGGTACCTTGACTATGATCATGATGATTGAAGCAAGTTATAATAATAATAATAATAATAATAATAATAATAATATTGATGATGATTATTATTATTACGATGATGGCATTGATAATGGTAATCGAATGGTAATAATAATGGTAATGGTAACGATATACGGACTAAGACTAACGACAAACGATAATTATAATGGTAATAATGTTCAATAAATTAATGAATATGATATTAATAATTAATTGAAAATAATAATAATAATAATAATAATAATAATAAATACAATTATAAAGGTAATTAAGATGATAATAATAATGTTGATGATAATGTGGGAGGTGGTGGTGATTAAGTTGATGGTGAAGTTGATAATAATTGCCGTGATTATGATCAGGATGATTGAAGCAATTGTGTACTGTATATATTTTTATATTATATATTTTTTATTATATCAGTCTTTCTTTCTTATCGAGTCACTACGTAGCTAGTGTGTATGATCTTGCTTACGTAGTGTGGTAGAAGGATTCGCAGGATGGATACCTGACATTGCCCGCTACGTAAACGCTCCTTCTGTGACCGGACAGGGGACTGGAGTACTGATTATATTTATAGTGTTGTTTTCGATTTTGACTGTTTGCTTTTTTTGTATCAACTCAAAGGGACAAATCTCGTATGTATATATGACTATAATAAATGAATCTTGAATTTTGAAAGTTATTATTAACAAACAGGTCTGTAAGTATTGGGTTAATTAGTAGCTGTATGAAAGGTCGATATATGTATTGTTTACTGTTGGATAATCATTCTAATCAGGTAATTGCTGTAAAAATTAACACATACAGGCTAATCGCCATTGGATTAACTAGATTTCATGCTGGTCTTACATCTTGTTACTTAGCATACACTATTATATGTTAACTTAGACAAAGGTAATTATTATTTACAAATGATGTACTAATTATTGTTTGTATTCATGTTTGATTCGGATATGAAATTAAATATTAGTATAGAAAATTACTGAAATTAATGAGTGATACAGTTATTTTACTTAAATTACTTTATACTAAAACTGTACGTTAGTGTATCAATACGACTGAATAGTGCATGTATAATAATGCCGCCAATATGTTCACGTATAACAACAAACAGTAGGTGATCACTAAGTAAATAAAAAAAAAAAGAAAATGACTTAGGCCTATCAGAACTACTTAAAAAGAATTATAGGCATAGTCTGACCAAGAGACACCTTAATCTTTGCAAGCATAAGGTGGGGAGAAATGGAGTGTAACAATCAATAACAGAAGATTAAAGTGGTGTGGACATTAAATTACTTTGATCCTAGGAAACAGACGATAGAAAGCCAGTAAGTGGATCAGGAAAACAGAGAAAT